GGCCTCCCAAAGTGCTGGGATTACAGGCTTGAGCCACCGCGCCCGGCCTATTTTTCTTATTTTATTTTTATTATTACTTTTTGAGACAGGGTCTTGCTCTGTTGCCCAGGCTGGAGTACAGTGGTGTGATCTCTGCTCACTGCAACCTCCGCCTCCTGGGCTCAAGCAGTCCTCCCACCACAGCCTTTCGAGTAGCTGGGACTACAGGCATGCACCGCCATGCCCAGCTAATTTTTGTCTTTTATGTAGAGTGGGAGTTTCACCATGTTGCCCAGGCTGGTCTCGAACTCCTAAGCTCAAGTAACCCTCTTGCCTCAGCCTCCCAAAGTGCTGGGATTACAGGCATGAGCCACCATGCCCGGCCTCCTTTGAAGATCTTTAAAGGTTTTCTGATCTTTAAAGAGCCTGGGAAATGAGCCCAAGTGTTGGCTGGAGCTCAAGCATAAAGCTCTAAAGCAGAAGCTAAAGAGAGTCTCAACAGACACAATGGACAGTGAATTTCAGTGGCAAAGTGGCCCCCAACTAAGCAATGGTAATACAATAATAGACCACTCACACCTATACAGTGTTTTCCAATAAACAAATAAGTGCTTTTACAACGTTATCTCATTTGATTCTTACAACAATGTAGTGAGAAAAACAAGGGTAGAATTATTATCCCCATTTTATGAAAGAAGAAACTGACTCAGTTAAATGCGTTGTCTGTGGTTAAACAACATGTTAATGGCAGAGTTGAAAGGAGAACCTAAATTTCCTGTCTCTCAGGTTAAGGCTCTTCTCAATATATCACACAAACTGGGCAAAGATATTGAGTGAGTTCCAATTTAACTCTCCTATGAATGATCCAAGCTGCTCCTATTGGCTAGCTTAAAAAATTAATCAGGCCAGACATGGTGGCTCATGCTAATCCCAGCACTTTGGGAGGCCAAGGCAGGCGGATCGCTTGAGTTCAGGAGTTCAAGAACAGCCTGGGCAACGTGGTGAAACCCCATCATTACAAAAAATACTAAATACAAAATACAAAGTACAAAAATTAGCCAAACGTGGTGGTGCATGCCTGTAGTCCCACCTACTCAGGAGGCTGACGTGGGAGGATTGCTTGAGCAGGGGAGGCAGAGGCAGAGGTTGCAGTGAGCCAAGATCATGCCACTGCACTCCAGCCTGGGCAACAGAGCAAGATCCTGTCTCAGAAAAAAATAGATCAATTCTGAGTGCTCATAGGTTGTGGCAGAAGCAACACCCCAATTATTGGAATTTCAAAGTCCTATTTGGATTTGGTATAGTAGTATCTCCTAGACAGCTAAATTCCTGGGAGAAGCAGTCTTAGAAATTTCCTCCTGGGGAGGCCGCATGGCCTAGTGGTACAAGCAAGGAGTCAGGCAGACTTGAGCTTGAATTCTGGCTCTACCACTTGTTCACTCTATGACCTTATTCACTATATAACCCTTCAATGCTTCATTTGTTCACCTGTAAAATGAAACTAAGAATTCCTATTTTACAAAGCTGTTGAGAGTCCAAGGTAAGGAATTAGAGGTGTAATAGAGTGTCATGGTTGTGTATAAGCTCTGTAATTATACTGCCTAGGTTTGAATCTCAGCCTTGCTTCTAGCTAGTTGTTTCACTTCAGATATGACACTTGACTTCTCAGAATTTCAGTTTTCGCCCATATAAAATAAGGAAAACAAATAGTGCTTTCATAATTATTATAAGCATCAAAGGAGATAATATTTGTTAAGCACTTAAGCATAGTTTCTGGCACACAGCTCTGTAAAAGATAATGATAACGATAGTGATAGTAGAGGTGGTGAAAAACCCAATACTATTTTTCTTCCAAAGCAAGAATGAGGAAGAAAGCTACTCAGTCCTGTTCTCTTCCATTTGCCAGTGCCCTTTCTCCCTCTTCAACTGCAAAGCCAAGAACACTAGAGTAGAAGTCAGGACACTTGGCTTTGAATGTCAGCTCTGTCACGTACTAGTTATGTGATCTGAAGGAAGTCATGTAACTTCCTTGAGGTATTTTTCCTCACCTGAGGTATTAAGTTGATGACACTTTGCTTACTCTGCTGGGTTGTTGTAAGTATCAAATGAGTGTTTTTATCTGCCACCAAGTATAAGATAGATATTTTTACCAGTAAAAAGCAACTTTATCTCCAAGCTTTTTCTCATGGACATTTCGATCCAGTACATTGTAGCAGATGTTGGTACTTGCTCCTTTCATCCACTCAATGAAGATTTTCCCTTTAGTCACATCAAAGTTGTACCGAAGGAATGGGCCAGGGCATAGAGTCTTCCAGTAAAATTCCTTGGCAATGTCTCCCCAGAATTCTGCAATAGAAATGGAAGCCCAGATATCATTAATCTTCTCAGACATATTTAGCCTCAGAAGGCTTACCAGTCTAACACAGGACCAAGTTATAACTTCCCTGTCCTAGGACCCACCACCTGGGTCCCTTCTTTACCTGTCTAATCTTAGCACCCACCTCTTCTTTTTTTTTTTTTTTTT